CTGCTGATGTGTTTCATGCTGCTGCTGATGTGTTTCATGTTGCTGCTGATGTGTTTCATGTTGCTGCTGATGTGTTTCATGTTGCTGCTGATGTGTTTCATGCTGCTGCTGATGTGTTTCATGCTGCTGATCTGTTTCATGTTGCTGCTGATCTGTTTCATGTTGCTGTGTTCATTTGTGCTCATCTGCTCACACAGACTCATGTTCATGCTGCTGTTCAGCGTATTGTTTTTATGCTACTAGTGAAACATTTTTCATCTGGACAGTTTATTTTTTTGCTGAAACGTTTCACCTTCCATTCAGATGACCTGACTGATAATTGATGGGTTGTATACCTGGATTATTGAGCCTGGACTTTTTTTGGTGTACTGCTAGTGTTTCGTGTATTTTTTAGTTGATATTTTTCTTAGTTCATATTTTAGATCTTATTACTGTTTTTCTTTTACATTTTAAAATTTTGTTGGATGTCATTGGGACCCTGTGCACATAGTTTCGTTCCACCACATGTGGTGTGCGTGTGACAGAACCTTGAATGTTTGACTCCTTGATGATCTATGATGGGCTACCATCGTCCTGTCCAGCAGGTGGCGGTAAGGAGCATTAAGATAACCGCCTACCGCCAGTAAACCGAAGAAGAAGAAGAAGAAGAAGAAGCAGCAGCAATGCAGGGTTACATGAAATAGACTTGAGTCCAACAGTTAATCACTCGTGTATTCCTCACTGGTTATATATTTATCCTTCTGTCGATTTATCGTTGCATAAACTAATAAAAAATAAAGGGAAAAATATGTCAGAAAACTTCTTAGTGCATCAATTTTTTCATAAACAATATATGGATAAACGTATAGTATTTAGGGATGGATCAAAAGATCCAGAATCAGGACTAGCAGGAGCAGCAGTATACATCCCAAACCACAACACAGAGATGAAGAAAAGAACAACAAATAACTCGTCAGTCTATACAGCAGAATTATTAGCAATAATCATGGGATTAGAATGGATTGAAAAATATAATGATCAAAAATATGTAATTGCATCTGATAGTATGGCAGCCTTATTAAGCATCAAATCAAGCAAATCAGAAAGACAAGATATAGTTGACAGAATTTACCACATTCTATATAAACTTCACTTGAGGGAAATATCAGTAGATTTCGTTTGGATCCCAGCACATGTGGGAGTGGAAGGCAATGAAGGTGCAGACATTCTTGCAAAACAGGCGTTAAAATCTAAAAATATAAACTATAAAATTCCATTAAGTAAAGCTGAATGTAAAATGATAATAAATAGATATGTTGGGAAGGTCTGGCAGGAAAATTGGGACGTAAACGATACAGGACGACATTTATATAACATTCAGAAAAAGGTAGGATGTACAAAGAAAGCAGGAAGGAATAAGAAACTAGAAACAATAATGACCTGTATCAGAATAGGACATACAGGGCTCAATAAATCACTTTTTAAAGTTATAGGAAAACATGCAACGGGACTATGAGACAAATGTAATCTCCCTGAAACAGTACAACATGTTTTTATGGAATGTACTGGATATGAATTCGAAAGAAGAAGTTTCCAAAAAGAAATGAATAAAATGAATATAAAATTTACAATTAATAACATTTTTAGTAGTGATGATAATAAAGTCAAAAATCAAATTATTATTTTCTTGAAACAAACAAATTTAATAGATAGAATTTAGATGAGGTATAAAGGTTAAGTTATTTCACAGAATTTTTATTTTATTTTATTTATTTTTATTTATTGTTTGTTGCGTGTACGTCTCCTGCTCACACTCCAGCTCAGCAGGTGGCGGTAATGCACCTTACAGTTGGTATGCAACCGCCATAAAACAACACTAGAAGAAGAAGAAGAAGGAGAAGAAGAAGAAGAAGAAGAAGAAGAAGACACGAAGAGAATCTCCCACTAACACAGCAGGGCTGTTCTTCCTGACCCTACTAAGCTGACAGGTAACGGAGACCATGTAAAATATGATTCTTGTAAAATATGATTCTTGTCGGGTTGTGCGGGTGTGTGGTGGTTTATGGGTCAGTGGTGAGCTCCGGCCTCGAGCCCTCGCCATCATGTCGCTTCACAACAACTTGGACTGGTTTCCATGTCGGCCAGTGTTACACACAACTGACCTGAAAGGACCGAGCCTGCAGGAGGTTTCATCTGACCTCGTGTTCACCTCCTGCAGGTTGTTGGGACGCTGGTCACGTGTCAGGGCATGTGGGTCCAAAACGTTTGGTGGCCACATGTGTGGTCCTCTGCAGCTCTGAAGATCAGCCTGACTGGTCGTTCAAGACTGACTGGACATCAGTTGTTGCAGAGAATGCTTTGGTTTGTTTTCATGAATTCTCTCCTCGTCACCTTCAGCTCAATGCAGTAAAGCAATTAAAGCAATTAAAACAATTAAAACAATTAAAACAATTAAAGCAATTAAAGCAATTAAAGCAATTAAAACAATTAAAGCAATTAAAGCAAGTTCTAAGATAAGATGGAACTTTATGGATCTGGCAGGAAATTGTTGTGCCAGAGTTTCAGTACAAAGGAACAAACACAAGGAACCACAAGATGTAAAAAATAACAGAGAATAGAAAAATAACAGAGATTATAAAAATAACAGAGAATATAAAAATAACAGAGAATATAAAAATAACAGAGAATATAAAAATAACAGAGATAATAAAAATAACAGAGAATAAAAAAATAACAGAGAATATAAAAATAACAGAGAATATAAAAATAACAGAGATTATAAAAATAACAGAGAATATAAAAATAACAGAGAATATAAAAATAACAGAGATAATAAAAATAACAGAGAATAAAAAAATAACAGAGATTATAAAAATAACAGAGAATATAAAAATAACAGAGAATATAAAAATAACAGAGATAATAAAAATAACAGAGAATAAAAAAATAACAGAGAATAGAAAAATAACAGAGATAATAAAAATAACAGAGAATATAAAAATACCAACAATTAAGGTGTAAACAGGTGTAGACGGAAACGTTGGTGTTTATTTTGGTGCAGGATTAATTTTATTGTGAAGAAAAGGGGGAGGAGTTAAACAGTGTGAAGGACTTCCTGTGTTGTTCTGTGGAGCACCTCGTGGTCTCAGTCTGACTGAAGGTGCTGCGGTCAGAGTCCAGGGTGTCCTGCAGGGGGGGTGACATGCTGTTCAGGGTCTGGAGCAGGTTCCTCAGCATCCTCTGCTCAGACTCCTCCATCAGAGGCTGCAGGTCCACTCCCAGAACTGAACCAGCTCTTCATGAGTTTATCCAGTGTGTTGGCATCAGCTTTCTTCACCCTGCTGCTCCTGAACACCACAGAGTAGAAGAAGATGCTGGAGACCACCGAGTGGTAAAACATCTGCAGCATGGTCCTGCATGGTTAAAGGACCTGAGTCTCCTCAGAAGAAAAAGGCGACTCTGCTCTTTCTTGTAGAGGATGTTGGAGTCAGGGGTCCTGGAGGTGGACCCCAGGTACTTGTTGCAGTCCACAGTGCCCACCTCACTACCCTTGATGTTGATGGGGTTGTGGGAGCTGGTCTTCTTCCTGTTGTCCACCTTCAGCTCTTTAGTTTTTCCAGTGTTGAGTTGCAGCTGGTTCTGTCCACACCACCTCTGTGTTCAGCTTCCTGGTCACCAGTGGTGCAGCCCACAATGGCAGACCATCCAGAACTTCTGCAGATGCAGGATTGTGAGTTGGACCTGAAGTCTGAGGTGTAGAGGGTGAACAGACACGGTGAGAGGACCGACCCCCGAGGAGCCTGTGCTGCTCAGATGGTGTCTGAGGTGTTCTGCAGCCTCACATACTGTGGTCGACCTGTGAGGTCGTCTCTGATCCAGGTGACCAGCGAGTCCTTCACCTGCATGTCCCGGAGCTACTGCAGAGTAGAGCAGGTCTGATGGTGTTCAAAGCACTGGAGAAGTCAAAGAACATGACTCAGTGCTGCCTGCCCTGTCCAGGTGTGTGTAGGCTGTGCAGCAGGTAGATGATGGCGTCATCAACTCCAACTCCTTGGAACTCCAACTTGTATGGAAGAACAAGTGCAGCTGGAAAATAAAACTTCAAAAGGAGACGAACCAAAGTTTGACTCCAGTTCTCAGACCGAATCGTTTCACACCAGGCACTTTGATCATTGTGTTTGTATAAAAAGCCCTTCATGTCATGCAGGTGGTGTTGCTCCCCATCCGCGATGCTGTCTCACGGCTTCAAGAGCAGTAAGAAGGACTTCACGTTTGGACCATGGACTGTGACCGCTTCCAAAAATCACATCATGAAATCCAAAGACATCGAACGGTGAGAACTTTGTCTTTGACTTCACTCAAGTTTTTACCTTTACATTAATTTCACAGAGAAACTGTGGATTTATACATCGGGGACACGACAGGATGTAAAGTCATTATTACCCTCCACGTGAAAGCAAAAGCTGTGTGTGTGTGTTCATGTCTTAGTCTGTTAGCAAAATATCTCATGAGCACCATGATAAATTTTGATGTAGCTCTTCAAAAGTGAACACTGGATGTACAAGTGACAAACATTTGGAGTGGACCTGTCCACTTGGACAGGGGATGCCCAGGTGGCTGCCACTGAAATTCAAAACACTAAAATTAAAATGTATCAGGGACTCATTCAGACATTAACCTAAAACTTAGTGAGTTGGTATCTCAAACAGATCCCCAACATATTGTGAGATCTAAGATCTTTGTTTAAAGTTTTGCAGTCAATCGTGTTTGTCTGTTAGCAAAATATCCCATCAACCACTGGATGGATTCTAAGGTCGTTTTCACACCATATAGTACGGTAGACTCGGTTCGGGACCAATATTCATGACCTTTTGTTACATTTGAGCTGGTGCGTTTGCATTCACACTGCACTGTGCAGTCGAGTCAACCTGTTGAAGCAACCTGTTGAAGCAACCTGTTGAAGCAACCTGTTGAAGCAACCTGTTGAAGCAACCTGTTGAAGCAACCTGTTGAACCAACCTGTTGAACCAACCTGTTCAACCAACCTGTTCAACCAACCAGTTGAAGCAACCTGTTGAACCAACCTGTTGAACCAACCTGTTGAACCAACCTGTTGAACCAACCTGTTGAACCAACCTGTTGAACCAACCTGTTCAACCAACCTGTTGAAGCAACCTGTTGAACCAACCTGTTCAAGCAACGTGTTGAACCAACCTGTTCAACCAACCTGTTGAAGCAACCTGTTGAAGCAACCTGTTGAAGCAACCTGTTGAAGCAACCTGTTGAACCAACCTGTTCAAGCAACGTGTTGAACCAACCTGTTCAACCAACCTGTTGAAGCAACCTGTTGAAGCAACCTGTTGAAGCAACCTGTTGAACCAACCTGTTGAAGCAACCTGTTGAACCAACCTGTTGAACCAACCTGTTGAAGCAACCTGTTGAAGCAACCTGTTGAACCAACCTGTTCAAGCAACGTGTTGAACCAACCTGTTCAACCAACCTGTTGAAGCAACCTGTTGAAGCAACCTGTTGAAGCAACCTGTTGAAGCAACTTGTTGAAGCAACCTGTTGAAGCAACCTGTTGAAGCAACCTGTTGAACCAACCTGTTGAACCAACCTGTTGAACCAACCTGTTCAACCAACCTGTTGAAGCAGCCTGTTGAACCAACCTGTTGAACCAACCTGTTGAACCAACCTGTTGAACCAACCTGTTGAAGCAACCTGTTCCCCCGCTCGCCTGTGGGGGTGCTGCACCAAGAACTACTGAAAGAAACGACACAAAAACCTCTGAAGACACGTCTTCTTCTTCTGTAAATAAAAATAAAAATGAAGTGGCATCAAGTTTTAGCAGTTTTAGGAGTTATATTTTGTCATTTTTCAACAATGGACTCAGCATGAGCAGAAGATGAGACAGAAGACCACGGAGAATGTCCTGATGCTGCTCAATAATCCAGGTAGAAAAATCCAAAAAAGTTAAATCTGGTCCTCTGGACATTCAAAAAAACAAAACAAAGCAAAACAACAAAAAATGTAGAAACGTTTCGTCTCTCATCCTGAGGACTTCCTCAGTCTGAGGTGCTGTATTCAGCTCAGTCTCTTAAATAGCACCTTCTCAGAGTGGATCAACCAGTTTGCTGCTGACAACCAGAACCAGCTGATCACATGCTCAAGAAGGACCATCAGCCTAATTGTTAGACCTCTCGTCTAAGTCTTGTTTCCACAACTCTCTCCCAGATCTTCATCGTGTGGCTCATCAACTTAATTCCCCTGTAGTTGCTACAACTCTGTGCATCCCCCTTGTTCTTAAAAATGGCCACCAGCACTTCTTCTCCATTCCTGAGGCATTTTCTCACCCTCATATATACCATTGAATATTTGAGTCAAAAACCTCACTGCCATCTCTCCAAGACATTTCCAAACCCCCACTGGTCATCAGGTCCTACTGCCTTCCCCTTCTTCATTCTTTTCAGAGCTTTCCGGACTTCACCCTCACTAATCTTTCCCACTTCCTGGTCTACAGTTTCCATGACCTCTACTCTTCATTCTCTTTCATTCTCTTCATTCATTAGCTCCTCAAAGTTCTCCTTCCATCTTTCAGTCACACTCTCCTCACTTGTTAGAACATTACCATTCCTATCTTTAACAAGCCTAACCTGCTGCACATCCTTTCCAGTCTGATCCCTCTGTCTTGCCAATCGGTACAAGTCCTTCTCGCCCTCTTTAGTGTCCAGCCTCCCATACAACTCATCGTACGCCCTCTGCTTGGCCTTAGCCACTTCCCTCTTTGCTCAACGTCCCATCTCTTTATATTCCTGTCTCCTCTCTTCAGTCCTCTAACTGTCATATTTCTTCTTGGCTAATCTCTTTCTTTGAACGGCGTCCTGCACTTCAATATTCATTTTGAAACTTTTTCTTACCACCCAGAGCCTTTAACAGCTCCTCTCTGAATTTCTCACAACATTCTTCCTTCTTCATCTTCCACCATTTGGTCTTCTTCTCTGATTTTAATCTGGTTCTCTTCTCCACAACAACAGTCATTCTACACACAACCATCCGATGCTGTCTGGCCACGCACTCCCCTGCCACAACCTTACAGTCTCCAATCTCCCTCAGGTTTCTTCTTCTACACAGAATGTACTCGACCTGCGTACTCCTTCCTCCACTCTTATAGGTCACTCTATGCTCCTCCCTCTTTTGGAAATAGGTGCCATTTCCATTCTCTTGGTAAAATCCACCACCATCTGTCCTTCCTGGTTTCTTTCCTTGACACCAAACCTACCCATCACTTCCTCATCCTCTGTTTCCTTCACCAACACGTCCATTCAGGTCTGTTCCCATCACCACTCTCTCCTCCCTGAGAATACTCTCCATCACTTCATCCAGATCTTTACAAAATGTATCTTTCTCCTCCTCATCACATCCAACCTGTGGAGCCTAACCACTGACAACATTTAGCATCAGACCTTCTACTTATACCTTCAGACACATCACCCTATCTGACACTCTCTTTTTTCACCTCTACTACATTCTCTGTCAACTCCTCCTTCAGGACCACCCCTACTCCATTTCTCTTTCTATCCACACCATGGTAAAACAGTTTGAACCCTGCTCCAATGCTGCGAGCCTTGCTGCCCTTCCACTTGGTCTCTTGGACACATAAAACATCTACCTTCCTTCTCAGCATCATGTCAGCCAGCTCTCTATCTTTACCTGTCATTGTCCCCACATTTAGAGTTGCAGCCCTCAGTCCTACATTCTTCACTTTACTCTTCTCCCTCTGTCTCCTGACATGGTTCCCTCCTCGTGGTCTTCCACTAGCTTCAGAACTTCAGAATTTATGTATTTACAGTTTTTAAATTAACGTTGTACAATTAGCACAAGCTGTTTGAAAAATGTGTTTGGAAACTTAAATACAGACTTTTATTTCCTCCTTTGTCCAACCAAGAAGCTGCAGGTAAACAGAAGGCTGTTGTTTATGAGAACGTCAGAACCTTTAAACTACACGGATGATGCTGAAGGAGCTCTTTTTGCATTTAATCAGCAAAGATTTTAAATGGTTATTATTGGATTTAATTCATCAATACCTTTTAGATTAGGGAGAATATTTACAAATTAAAACATTTGATTCAGTCAGTGAAGTGAATTGCACATTATGGGACAGTCGCAGTAAAAGCATTGAGTTTTTAGAGTTAAGTTTCAGAGCGTTCTGTTTTTGACATCTGTTTCAGTTTAACACAACAACGCCTCTTTTCTTGTGAATGCAGTCAAAGACAAAAGCACAAAGTCTGAGTTAAAACAAATGCTCTGAAGAATGTTTCCAAATTCATCAAGTAATTCAATTTACATAGTGCCAAGTCACAACAGAAGTATGGTATGGTATAAAGTTTATTCATTTGAAAAAAGTACAAAACAATTCCATAACAATATAAAAAAAGATACAAGAGATTTAAAATGAAAGGCAGCAGAAAGAATAAAAAATCTTATTATATCTGCCCCTTTTTTCAAACAATTAGTTCAATCATAATAATTTACAAGTAACAGAACAAAATGAATAACTTTCTAATTTTTATAATTCTAATACAAAACACACACTAAGCTACTTCATATATACTTTTTTAACAATCCAGCTTTGATCTTTTTCTTAAATGTACACATTGACTTGTCATTTTTCACATCACTCTCTAGAACATTCCACAATCCAACTCCTTGGATTGAGGTAGACCTTCCCTTCAGACTAGTTCTGAATTTTGGTTTGACAAATATCTCTATCCCCTTAAGATTGTAACAACTTTGTCTTTTAACAACATTTATTTGGATATTTAATGGTAATGTGTTATTTTGAGTCCTATGCATAACTGATAAAATACTATAATCTACCAAATCATGGAACTTCAATAACTTCAGTTGATAAAATAATGTGCTTGATGGGTGACTGTAATGCTTTCTGGTGATAATTCTTACAGCTCTTTTCTGTAAAATAAAAATAGGTTTTGTAAACGTTTTACACGCTTTCCCCCAAACATCAATGCAATAGATTAAATGTGGAACAATGATTGTGTTATACAACATGTACAGAGCTTTATCATTTAATAATTCCCTGACTTTGTATAGTACTGCAATAGATTTAGATATTTTTGTTCTTACAGAATTTATGTGATTTTTCCATGTGAGCTGTTCATCAATGATTACACCCAAAAATTTCATCTCATTAACTCTACAAATCTCAACACACTCAATTTTAAATGGATCATCAACAGTTCTCTTTTTGTTGCTAAATATCATGTATTTAGTTTTATCTAAATTTAATGATAATTTATTAATTTTAAACCAAGTTTGTATTTTATCAAATTCTGTCCATCATTTCCAACATCCGTTTTACATCTTTACCCAAACAGAAAAATGTGGTGTCATCTGCAAAAAGGACACATTTGAGGAGTCCTGATACATCATCAGAAGACAGAAGTCTTCTCGGCACTGAACAGAAACTTTCATATATATAAAAAGTTAGTTAATAAAATTCTTTATCTAAGGAACAGACAGCTTTGAGGTTAACTTCATCGCAGACTCTCATCTTGAGCAAGCATGAAGGCGACAGTGGAAAGAAAAAACTTCCTCATGAGGAAAAAAACCTTTAGCAGAACCTCAGCTCAGGACAAGCGGCCATCTGCTTCGACCGGCTGGAGTTGAGAGGACAGGAAAGAGGAACAGATACACAATGGCAGGTCAAGAATCACATGTTAAGATAGAAATAGTATCAAATGAAAACTATTCAATTTTAACAATTCATTTAAGGAAATGAGCTCAATCTGTCCTCTAGTAGTCTAAACTTAAGACAAGATAACAAGTCAACCCTAACTGAAATAATGTTATTTATGAAGAATCTCATGAAGTTATCACTTCTTATCATTGTAGGGATACATGGTTCAACAGAGAGAGGCTTTTCATCCTTGGTTCAATTGGCTCAGTGCAGTGTGAATGCAAACCGCACCAGCTGAAACGTAAACAAATGTTATGAATGTTGGTCCCCAACCGAACCGAGTCTACCGGACTATCAGGTGTGAAAACAACCTAACTGTTTTCTGTTTGCCTTTTCAGGTTAGGGGAAGAGTTGAACATGCCCTCCCTCCCAGAGATGTTGTTTGGGGACAACGTTCTGAGAATTCAACACTCTGACAGTTTTGGCATTGAGTTTAATGCCTTCGATGCCCTGAAAAGAGTCAACAATATGGAGGACTCTGTAAAGGTGGCCTGTGCTCAAGAGTGGCTGGAGAGCAGGTAAGACGAGCTAAAACTAACGGGCCTTTTCCACAGCCCCTCTTCAGCCCTGTTCGACTCGGTTCGGTATGGTTTCAAATCTTTTTCCACTAGCACTTTTTTCAGTCCCTTCTTCTCTGGGGTACCAAGCGAGCCGAGCCGGCACCAATACGTGACATCAGAACACTGTCGGTCACTGATTGATCGGGGGCGGAGTCACTGGATCTTTTCAAAACACCCGATTCGCCATTTGCAATTACTCAAGCTCGGAACCGTGACTGGACCTACTTTTAAGATTTTAAAAACAAAAATGACAACACCATGGTCTAATGCTGAAGTCCAGGCATTTTTTTGTGTTTGACCAACGACAAAATTCAGAGCAAGCCAGTCACCGTGGAGGATCATGCAAGCTGCCAACTTGTTGAAACGTGCGAGGCCGGGTTCCGGGCCCCGGCCTCACGTACTCATAAAAAGGCCGAACTCCGAGCCGCGGCAGGCGGGCGGACCGGGACTGGTCTGGGACAAAGGGTGTAAACGATTTTTAAAAACATTTTATTTATAAAAAATAATAAATAAATATATAAATATAAATAATCTGTTAATTAAAATGAACTCAGCTGAAAAATCATAAAAAGACACAAAATTATTGGATCTCAGGAATATTTCCCTCAAACATGTTTAAAGAAGAGATATCAACTTTATTCTAACCCACAGATGTACAAATCACAAAACAAGCATTACACTTTAAATCAAAGCTAAAATAAAATAATCCGTATTCAAGAAACAAAACCACACATCTACTTTGAACAATAAAAGCCACAATGAGTGCAAATACATCAAATAATGAAGAAAAACTATGACATTGTAAATATAGATGTTTTTGTAGAATCTGGTTCATCAGAGATTTAATGGTGAACTAAAGTTCTTTAAAAGTTCATTAGCAGGATTTATATACATTGTTTAATTTGATCATTTTAATAATCTGTATACTTTTTAATTTACCAGAAACTTTAAAATAAATTCTCACCCTGTATATGAAAACTGTTTCAAGTTTAAGTCATGATTATGAGTAAAAAATCCAGATTTTATCCAATCCGTGGGTGTGTGACAGTAATAATCTGACTTGAATGATGTTTTATTCTGAAGCTTTCAGGTTAACCCTTTATTGTCCACTAACTTTATGACCATTCATGACCCTTAGGGAAAAATCAACCACCTTATTTAACTGCATAAAATACTGTTTTATTTTATTCACAAAATAAAACAACTAGTCAGTCTTTAAGAGAGAGTTAACTCGGCCTGAAAACATCACATTTAAATGACTTATTTTAACTCTTCAGACCATTTTTATTATAATTTCATCCATCCTTCAATCCATCCACCCACCCATCCATCCATTTACAGTGTTTGGTAAATAACAAAAGTGTCATAACAAAAGTCAAGATATTTTTAATTAGGGCTGAATACTTAACTCGTCTTTTGGTGTCAAGTTTCGGTGATTGGCTGTAACGTGACACATGGTTTCAGCACGCAGGCAGGTAAAACAGACTTATGGCAAACAGACATGCATGGTTACGCCCAGAGCCGTATAGAGCTGCTGTATAGCTGTACGTCTATGATGCTGGTTACACCCACAGACAGGGTTCACGTGTTTGTGTTGTGTGAACTAGTGTGCAGCGCATGTCTCGGCGAACCGCTTCAATTTACAAGCGGAAAGTTTCTCCGTGGCAGCACGGTGGTGCAACTGGTAGAGCTGCTTCCTCTCAGCGAGCAGGTCCTTGGTTCAAACCCCGGTCCAGGGGCCTTTCTGGGTGGAGTTTGCATGTTCTCTCCGTGCATGCGTGGGTTTTCTCCGGGTGCTCCGGTTTCCTCCCACAGACCAAAAACATGCATGTTAGGCTGATTGGTAACTCTAAATTGTCCCTAGGTGTGAGTGAGAGAGTGAATGGTTTGTCTCGTTTGACTCTGTGTCCCTGTGATGGACTTGTGACCTGTCCAGGGTGTACCCCGCCCCTCGCACAGTGATTGCTGGACATGGGCACCAGCGACCCCCGTGACCCAAAATGGAATAAACGGGTAAAGATGATGGATGGATGGATGGAAGTTGCTCCGTGTTTGTCTGCAAGAAAAGTGGACCGCAGCCATCCTCCACCCAGTAAGTCAGCTTGAGGGTATTAGAGAGCCTGAACAGCCTGATCGAACATCTCCACGACCGGACTCCTCTTCATCTGAGAACTCCGAGGATGGCTCCGTGTCTGGGATTTCAGCTGGTAAGTCTACGTTTGTTAACATTATTGCAGCTTCGTGGCTGCTGCTTAATACGTGCATCGCTCGGTGAGTTAACTAGCCATGTAACGCTAACTTTAAGATATTAGTGTGTAGCTTTATTTTATTTTAATAAAAACATTGTATGCAGTAGAGACGGGAATGTTGAGGAAAATGGGAAGACGTCAAAGATTTGGATGGGTGGACCACAGGACCAGTGTGGCACAAAGACCATAAAAAAATATTAGTGTGTAGCTTTAGTTTATTTAAATAACTTGTAGCTTTAGTTTATTAAAATATGGCTATCTATGTAGCTAGCTAAATCAAAAGCTAACTAAAGATTGACAGTAACAGATAAAGCTGAACTTGTAAAAATGTGCTCATCCATCCAGTCAGCTGCTTCAACAATTCACTAATGTTCACTGTTCTCCTCACAGGAGCCTCTGACCCTGATGTGAGGACAGAGACAGAAAAGAAAAGTAACATGGGGGCCACAGGACTGTCACAAACTTTGTTGTTAAAGTTTGCTGCCTTTTTCTACAGTGGAGGCTCCATGGTGGAAGTAAATAAACTTTAAAGGATATTGTTGACCAGTTAATCTTTTATCTCTCAGCCTAGATAATGGTTTTTGAACAATAATAACACAACCATGTTATTGCTGTTTTGTTCTCATGTCAATTAGGGAGATGATCAGAGCCCTAAACTCCAGAGAACCACAGAGAAGATTCAGGAAGAGACACAGAGGTGCAGAAGTCTGCATCAACCCTAACCTCAGTGAATCCAGTGACCTGCTGGTGGAATGTGAGGGACACTATGCCAATTAGGGCTGCAACTAATGATTATTTAAATTAATTAATTTAATAATAATTAATTTAAATCGATTAATCGGGTGATTTTTTTCTTTCTTTCCCAGATTAATCAATGAATCGGCCAAAAAAAAAAAAAAAAGCCAAAATGTTTTAATTACCACCTCTTTCTTCAAAAATTTGACTGACATAGCAAATCACACAAAAAACAAGTTGCTACTTGACTCTTCTGTTAGTAAAATATTGAATAATAAAAAAATAAAATTTCAAATAACTTATAGTAGATTGTTATTGTAGAAGATTGATTATTGTAGAAGATTATTAATTGATTATTGTAGAAGAGGTTTCTACACAGAATGTAGTCGACCTGCGTACTCCTTCGTCCACTCTTATAGGTCACTCTATGTTCCTCCTTCTTTAGGATATACAGTAGGTATTGACTAAAGCCATTTCCATTCTCTTGGCAAAATCCACCACCATCTGTCCTTCTTGGTTTCTTTCCTTGACACCAAACCTACCCATAACTTCCTCATCCCCTCTGTTTCCTTCACCAACGTGTCCATTCAGGTCTGCACCGATCACCACTCTTTCCTCCCTGGGAATACTCTCTGTCACTTCATCCAGATCCTTCCAAAATGTATCATTCTCGTCCCAATCACATCCAACCTGTGGAGCATAACCACTGACAATCTTTAGCATCATACCTTCTACTTCTACCTTCAGGCACATCACCCTATCTATCTGACACTCTTCACCTCTACTACATTTTTTGCCAACTCCTCCTTCAGGACCACCCCTACTCCATTTCTTCTCCTATGCACACCATGGTAAAACAGTTTGAACCCTGCTCCAATGCTGTGAGCCTTGCTGTCCTTCCACTTGGTCTCTTGGACACATAAAGCATCTACCTTCCTTCTCTGCATCATGTCAGCCAGCTCTCTACCTTTGCCTGTCATTGTCCCCACATTTAGATTTGCAGCCCTCAGTCCTACATTCTTCACTTCATTACATTCTGCACCCTATCTGTCAGCAGCACCGGTGGCGATCGTTGTCCTCGACCGATCCGGTATGGTTTCGTTTTGATGAACTCGCATTATGGTTTTGGCCAAAGTGTTTTGCATCGTATGCCATTCCTGACACAACTCTCACATTTACCCTGTCTTGGGACCGGCACAAGAGGTACACTGGCTTGTGCTCCCTGGTGGCTGGTTTGATACAATACAATACAAAAGGCTGCCAAGTGTCCCAAAATCTTTTTACAGAACCCTTCAAGATTTATCTTATTTTCTCCAAATGGATATGATACATCACCTTTCTTATCCAATGTACATATGCCCCGGTATGGGTCCTTCCATTTGTATAATATTAGCCTTCTGGCCAGAAGAAAGCCAAAGGTAATCGCATCCTTCTAGCATTTGCTCAAGGATGTATCCACTGGGACCACCCTGAAAAGTGAAATGAGTGGTTATAGGTGAACAGTTTTGCCACATATTCCAGAGAAGATGTCAAAAATAAATTTTCAAAAAGTCTCCAATTTAGGACAGGTCTAGAATGTATGCAAGAGTGTAGCTAGAGTTTGTTTGCAACGATTGCATGCTGGGTCCAGATCAGCCTTGATCTTGGACAGCTTGTCTTTTGACCAGTGCAACCTGTACACTATATTAAATTGAAATGCAGCATGTCTCAGGCAGATAGAGGATGAGTAAATGTTCTTAATGATCCTTTTCCAGATTGAGTCTGATATGGGTTCCTCCAAGTCTGCTTCTCATTTCAGTTTAAGGGAGTCCAAACTTAGACTCATGGTATGAACTGAGCAGTGTATAAATCTTACTAAGGTATCAAACCTGGTTTCCAAAGTCTTAGCCACAAAATGTTTAGAGAAGTACAAAGGAAAACAGAGTTAGATATCACAAAATGTCTCAGCTGCAGATATCTAAAAAAAATGTGACT